GACTTCAAACTATACTACAAGGCTACAGTAATCAAAACAGCATGGTACTGGTACCAAAACAGAGATATAGACCAATGGAACAGAACAGAGGCTTTGGAGGCAACACATCTACAACCAACTGATCTTTGACAAACCTGTAGCTATTTCTAGTGACTGTGAAGTATTCATGTCCACAAATCCTGCCTGCTTCTGTAACTTTCTCCTAATGTCTTCTGCACACTGACTGACTAATGCCATATTTACCATGCGTTGGTTTTCAGGGCTCTTGGGATCAAAAGAAGTATACATGCAATAGGCTTCACACAGCCTCTCACAGAACTGTGCCGGGCTTTCTTCTTTCCCTTGAATGACTTTAGAGACTTTATTAATGTTTGTAGCCCTCTGGGCTCCCTTCTTCAATCCTTCCAGTAAGGCCTCTCTGTACTAAGACTAGCCTTTGCATGCTCCCGGGGTGTTTGGATCCCACTGGGGGGTCAGTCCCCAGTAACTGGACCCTTACATACTGTTGGGGGTTCTGGTAATCTGCAGGAACATATTCCTGTAACCATTTGGAGGCAGCTTGGAGTACTCTTTGCCTTTCCTCAGTGTTAAAAAGATACATAAGCAGCTGGTGGCAGTCAGCCCAAGTGGGGTTATGAGTTTGGACAATAGTTTACAGTAGGTCAATGAGAGCTTGTGGCTTCTCTGTATAAGATGGGGTGTTATTTTTCCAGTTGATAAGATCACCTGAGGTGAACGGCAGGTATGTGAAAACATACCTTTCCACCATGTGGCCATCCTCATCCACTCCCGTATACCTCTGCTCTCTTAAAGGCATCTGCACCCCTGCCTTGGGTTGCAGAGGGGCTGCTATATGAGTTCCTCCCAGGAGGTGGGTGACTGTGGGAGGAGTCCCTCTGCATTCTTTCTTGTCTACACTTGGTGGTTTAGGGGTGTGCATTCCTCGTGGAGGTGCTGAGGTTTCAGGCCCAGGGGTAAGGGATCCTTCCTCCTGATGGGGGTGAGTATCATGGGCAAAAGCTCTTCTGCCATTGAATCTGCCAGGACCTTAGCTGTCTGTGTCCCTGCCACTGGATCTGCTAGGACCTTAGGAGTCTGCGTCCCTTGGTGGTGGAGCAGGGTTTCTCCCTAACTGTCTGCCCCTTTGCCATCAGTACAGTTGCTGCCTGTCCTCTTAACCACTGTGAGGGTTTAGAACTAGCTGCAGGCACGAATCTATGTACAGAAATTGATCAGGGTATCCTGGCTTGCATATAACCTTATGCCATAC